CTCATCAATCACCAAAACCCCGGCCCATATTCACCATAATGGGGCCTAGATGCATTCACCTATGATCTAGATGGGAGCAAATACACAGATCATGGACACATAGTGTCATCCAAGAAAATGAGCAACAACCAATGTTCCAACACAAGTATTCTGCTGAACTTGTGGGATTCTTAAATCTAACTTGTTATTCTGTCAGTATAATCTGTAGGCTTCTCAAGCTTTAATTTTTAAATAAGAAAAATGCACCTCAATGTAACTAGCCATTATGTCAGCAGCGTCCGTTGACTTTTTAAACTTTTTTTTTGAAATAAAACACATTACAATGTAACTTATTCTTTTGTCGGTAGCGCTTTATTTGGCCCGATGTAGCTACCATCATCATACTGTTTAGCTCTCGAATCTCATCCACTATTGAAAAATATTAGAAAAAAATTAAATAAAATTAATAAAAATGTTAGATGAAATATCTAGGCAAAACAACACCTACACATATGGTGATATGTGTTGGTCTTGGCAACTGGTATATATAATTATTTCCTTTAGTCATCCATGTTTGTTTTAATTTACCTATGTGTGACATGTCGCTTTCTTTGTCCACTATCAATTTCAAGTGGTACACATGCAGAAACACATGACACATATAATTTCTCTTTCTTTATTAGATGATTATAAATAAAAGAGATTTTGTTCATTGATAATAACAAACACACATCAACAATGTCTGGAGCTCAATCAAACAATCACCATCACGACCCTGAAGGTAAGTTTTCCTATTGGTATATATTAGGAGGATGAGGAATGCCATCAGTAGTGGTTGAGATTCAAAAACAATATGTAGTGGGTAGTTAGATTGGGCAAGATAAAGGGACACAAACAAAAGAATGGCTTAGGTTGAGAAGCCTTAAAAAAGGTTTGAGAAGACCACAAGTGCTTCCAACAAAATAATTATTTAGATTGAGGTACCTTTTTCTTTCAACAAAAAGGATTTGAAAATGAAGCACAATGATAATGACGAAATGGCAAGTAAGACTAAGAAAGCCCATAGGTTTACAACACTACCTAGGTTCGTGCATTGGTTGTTGGTCATTTTCCTTGGACGAAGAAGCCTCCATGATCGGTTTATCGGCTCCTATCTAGATTAGAGGTTTGAAGTTTGATACAAAACTCATCAGAATTAGTAGTATGATCTTTGTTTCTTTGGTAGTCAAAAGCAAGGTAGAATGGGATGCAAACCCACTAAGAACATAATTTGTAATAGTCATGAAATGGATGCAACCATTAAGAGAATAAGATGTAGTTTGCAAGTTGGCCGGGCAAGAATGGAATCAGGATGAAATTATTGCGTGTCACATGAAAGGTGGATATTTTCTTGAAGTCAAAGTAAAAATTGTAATACATATGTTACAAGTCTTCAACACAAAATAAGATGCTTTCGGAAAGACCATGACAAAACAAATAGCCAGATTGTTGACAGTGCATTCGTCTCAACATTTTTTGTATAATTCCAGTAGAGAGATATTCATACTTGGTAATTATCAAACTCATAAACTTTTAGTAGTACTATATGATAGCAAAGAAGCGCACCTAATGAAGAATACACAATCCCAAAAGACCACCGTGATGTGCATCATGCACCAATCTCCGCGGCAAAACTCTAGGATCACCAACAACACGAAGGAGGACATGTACCAGTCCACATGCATCACGGAGTTCTTTGCGGTCACCATGCGAGACCGACCCTTGACTATTGCAGGTGATGACATAATATCCTCGATATTAGTAGCCTTAGATTGGTTGACTACGTATTAGCCCCTGACCGAGTACCTACGTCAGTGTCATGAGTTCAACGGCACATGTCACCTCCACCGTTGGGATCACTGCAGCCAACGCTGGAAATGACATGCCTCAGAATGTTTGGCCGTATGGCATGGTGCCCTCGGATTGATGATACTGACCTAGGAACTCTATCAGAGAGCTATCGTAGTCAACAAATCCAAGGCTACAAATGATGACAACAAGCAGATCTTTGCCCTCCTACGTTTCTCTGTGGCCGACCGAGCGATGTACCTTTTCATGGGCTCCTTGGTTTTCATCGGTGATCGTCTGAGTTGGGTGGCATGGCCAGCCGCATGCCCACATATGATGTGTAGAAGGATCCTTGTTGGGATTGTGTGCACATCATTGCTTCTGTTCCTGCATGCTGATTTTATATGAGAAAATGTGTAGCTAATATTAACCAAATATGAAGTAGGTCGTCGAAAAGCTTCAAACAAATCTATTATTAACAGCCTAGGTATGTCGCCAAGGTGTTCCAAAAAACATTTTGTTCCGTGTGAAGGACACGTAAGATGTATATGTGACTTAAATTTTCTACATAATACAAAAAGGGATGAAGGTTGCTAAATTAAAAATCAGACAGGTAGACGCTCCAACTCACATAATGAACTGTCTATGACTCTGTAATTCTTCTTGTGTGACTCCACTAATAGCCAACCTTGCTCACTACTTCTGTTAAATAAAGGTCGCCTCTAATCCATGGCTAATCATGCAAAATATATTGGTTGAACTCTTACTTTCTAGGGTTGTTTGGACTAAAATAAAGAAAAAGAGAGTGTACTAACCTTAATAAAATCTTAACTGAACCTATGAATGCGAGGTTCTCAAATCCAACTCATTATTTTGTTAGTCGCGCTATTTCAGTTGATCTTGCCGCTCGCAACAATCAACTATTTCGATCGAGAACCCTTAACCTCTAGTGCCCATATTCATCGTAAGATACATAGATAGGAAAAAATACCTCTTGCACCGGGTCGATAGTTTGTTGGCCTGAATTCAATCCATGACTATCACTAGTGTTCTCTTCGTACACTACTGCAATGTCTTTTTGGCAGGCGGTCAAAATCGCTTTACCTAGGTGGGCAAGCAGTCCGCCTGCATTCAAAGGTCTCCGTTAATTGCTTTTAACCGAGACAGTCAAAAGGACCGCCTCAGAAAAGGTATTTTTGGATGCGAGCAGATTACAAAGCCAACCTGCGAAAATAAATAAAAAATAAAAAATCTCCAGGTTCTGGATCCGGCTCCAGCTTCTTTAGCCAGCTTTAGCTTTTGGAGCCACCATCGTCGGGATCCTCCACGCACGCCACTTGTCGACCTCCATCCTCCCATCATGGCATCCCCAGATCTACCCGCTCTAGAGTCTTGCCGCCCGTGGATCTGCAAAGGGGGAGACGGAAGAGTGAGAGAGATGAAGAGGGAAAGAGACAGAGAGATGGAGAAATTTGTACCTACACCGCCATTGCCGCCTTCCACCGGATCTGGTCGCCATCCACCGGATTTGGCCACCGTCCACCGGATTTGTCGCCCTCCATCGGATTCCCATCGGATCGAGCCCACAGGAAGCAGTACGCCAACCATCAGATAAGCGAGCCCGCAGGACGTGTGGGGCCCCGCCGCGGCCACCCGCCGCTTGGTGCCTGGCCACCCGTGCCATAGGAGGGCCCGCACGCTGCCACCCACGCCGGAGGAGCGCCCGCTCGTCCTGCATAGAGAGGTAGGGCCCAGAGAGGAGTGGAGAGGGAGCGGACGGCTGCTCTAACCGGCGTGGAGAGGAGTAGAGAGGGAGCGGCAACTATTGCTCTGGTCTGGGAGTCGCGAGCACAGGGGACAAGGGGAAGGAGTCGCAAGCACAAGAGTAAGAGAAGGAGACCGCTGCTCTGCTCTAGGTGGTGGCTGAGAGGTGGAGAAGTGGAGAGAGAGAGAGAGAGAGAGTTGCCTTTTATAGTTAGGGTTCGGAGTAGGCTGCTGATGGGCCTTGAGCCTTTTAACCGAGACGAGCGCTCGTCTCTGAAAATGGATCCAACCATTTTTCGAGGAGGGCCTCTCCGTAAATCGATTTTAGGAGGCGGTCACTGTAAATTGATTTTATGAGACACGCAATTTTAACTGCCTCTGTAAATCAATTTTACGAGGCGGGTAATCTTAACTGCCTCAGTAAATAAAATGTCCGCCTCCGTAAATGCATTTTGCAAGATGGTTAATTGTGACTGCCTCCGTAAATAAAAATGACTGCATTCGAAAATCTTTGGGCATTTTACAAGACAGTTGGATTTTGTGACCGCCTCCATTAATGTTTGGACAGTGTCTCGCAAAATCATTTTTGTAATAGTGTAAACAGAAGTCGTTTATTTATAGGCATCCAGTGTAACGAGAAGTTACACACGTCTTAAGAAATCTTTGCATGTCCACCACGTGCCATTTGGTTGTGAATGAAAAGAAGCCACTTGTCATGAGAGGGTGGACAAAAAATAAGCTTCTTAAGGAACCTTTGCATTTCCACCATGTGCCATTTGGTTGTGAATAAAGGGAAGCAACTTGTCGTGGGGAGGTGGACAAAAGGAAATGTGACGGAATAAGAAATTTAAGACGTATATTAAGTAGGTCCTAGAAAGAATGAATATTAATGATAGCCAAAATGTTTACGCAAAATTGAAAATAGACCTCAAAAGTAACTTCAAATTACAAATACTTCTACTATCAAACTAACTCCCTTTGCCACCTTTTAGATCAAGCCCTTGTTTGCGAAGTTCTCTATTATGATTTTTAGTGCACTAGGTAAATACTTGTATGTTGCAACGGGAACACATACAATGATAACATACGTACGAGCATGTGTTATACTGTTAGCTAAATTAGATACTGCAATCGTTGACGCTGTTGCTCCTGCTCGGCTTGTTGTGGATTTTTCACTAGGCCTGGCCCAACGTATCCATCAGGCTAGGCCCAAGTCTAGACAGTGGCCCAAAAACAGTAAACAGCGATCGGCCTCTTCTTCAACCTCCGTCGGCTGATGCTCCTCCAGTTCATCGCTTCCTCACACGACCTGAGCGGGTACTCGGTAGGTCCGGCCCCCTTGGACCCGACCTGCCCCACCCCAGCTCCTCGCCGCGAATGCTGAGACGGCGGAAACCGACCGCGCTTCCGTACGCCACCGCCGATTGACAATGAAACCCCCGTCCGCACTCCCCTGGATCTCCCCGCTGCAGTACCGCAGCCCCGCCCGCGGCGCGCCGCCCGCCCCACCGTCTCCCCCGCCTCCACCCCCTCCCACCCGGCCGCCGCGGTACCTCCACCACCCGGAACTCGCGCGCCTCATCGCGTCCTCCCCGTCCGCGCAGCGCGCGCTCGACCTCTTCAACGCGGACTCCTCCCAGCGCGGCTTCTCCCACACGCCGGCCACCTTCTCGGCGCTCCTCGTCCGCCTCGCGCGCGCGCGGCTCCCGCGCGCCGCCGCCGCCGTGCTCCACCGAACCGCCTCCGAGCCCTGCCGGTTCCAGGAGCCGCAGTTCCTGCCGCTCGTCCGCCTCCTCCCGCCCGACCACGCGCTCGCGCTCCTCCGCTTCCTGCCCACGCTGCTCCGCACGAGCCGCGTCTCACACAAGGCGCTCGCCGTCTGCCTGGACCGCCTCGTCTCCTCCCGCGGCTGCCACGGCGTCCTCGACGAGCTCCTAGCCGACCTGCGCGACCCCCGGAACAAGTACCTTCCAAGGCCTAACACATGCGTCTACAACATCCTCATCAAGTACTATGTCAAAAACGGCGAATTGGAGACCGCCTTCAAAGTGCTCGACGAAATGCGCGAGTACACCTGCGCTGACGTGAAGCCGAACTTGGTCACCTATTCAACATTGATCGGTGGGCTCTGCCGTGGCGGTAAGATGATGGAAGCGTTTGAGCTATTCGAGGAGATGATCGAGAAGGACCGCATTGTGCCTGATCAGCTGTTGTACAATGTGATAATCGATGGGTTCTGTAGACTGGGGCAGGTGGATAAGGCTCGTGCAATCTTTGGATTTATGAGGAAGAACGAGTGTGAGCCCAATGCCTTCAATTATGCCACGCTGATTAATGGGCACTGTAAGAAAGCGGACATTGAGGCGGCGAGATCGGTATTTGAGGAGATGAGGAATGCTGGTGTGGAGCCAGATGCTGTGAGTTACACTGCACTGATCGGCTGCCTTTGCAGGCATGGAAGTGTGGATGAGGGCATCAATCTTGTTTTGGAGATGAAGCAGAAGGGGTGTAGCGCTGATGTCGTCACATACAATCTGGTGATTGAGGGGCTGTGTAAAGATGGGCGGACAGTGGAAGCAATGGACCTGCTTGAGAGTGTGCCGCTGGAAGGAGTTAAGTTGAACGTCGCGAGCTATCGGATCTTAATGAACTGCTTGTGCTCCCGTGGGGAGATGGACAAGGCAGTTGGCTTGCTGGGATTGATGCTTGGACGAGGGTTTCTACCTCACTATGCAGCGTCAAACAACCTGTTGATTGGTCTGTGTGATGTTGGGCGCATAGCAGATGCTACGATGGCATTGTATGGGTTAGCTGATGCAGGCTTCATGCCAGAGGCTAGATGTTGGGAGAGGCTTGTGGAGACTGTGTGCCGGGAGAGAAAGCAAAGGAGATCTACTGAGCTACTAGATGTCTTGGTTGGCGTAGGTTGTTGTCTTGAGGAAAGGAACTCACAGCAGTGTATCTCTCCCCATTTGCATTACGGGATTGAATTGAAGTTTTAACAAGAATGAAGAGAAGACTGCCAGTCCCTACTGGAGACAGCAACCAACAGGGCCTGACGCAAACTTCTCTTTCAGAACAAGCTACTACACATCCAGAAGATATCAAACCATAAAGGCACAATGACCGCATAGACTTGTATTCATCATTCTCCAAAGAGTTGTCATTGGAGAGGTTGTCAGGATGAGGGAGGGCGTAGACACTTGGAGGAACGGCCGTTGGCTCTGGCAAACTGACTTCCACTGGACCGGTGATCTTCAGCAGAACCATTTTTGCTAAAAAAAAGCTTCATCAGGTCAGGGCTGGCGATCGATGCGGTTTGGACTGAAACCACAACCATCAAAAGAGTCCTATTTTAATAGGAAGTGGGCATGACTTCTTTTGACAATTAAAATATTTCCCCCATTTTTTTACTACTACCATATGGACCTAGTGCTAATTGTAATTGGCTCCTTTTTTGAGGTAACACAGGCATGGCTGATAAGTCATGGCTGAAAGTACCGTTGGCTGATTTGTAGTGAGAGAAAAATATTGTTCGTTTGCTGAAAAAGTACGGCTTATAAGCTAAGCGAACAGGGCGATAGTCCTTGATTGCTTCGTGGTTTAAATAAATATATAGGGGGCAAGTTTTGGTTCATCCTTTGTTAATGTCTGATGTAATTTGTCACGAAAGACTGCCGCTGTAATGTTCCAAAATGTATCAGCAGTCAGCTTAGTGCAGCAACTACTTGCAGTTCCTCAATTCTCATTACATTCTCCCTTGAAATTAAACAAGTTAAGGAGTAACTACACTTGACACCTCACAAATAAAGACACTTACTAATTTATTCAACCAACCTTTCATCCATAAACACTGCTGTATCAGACAGCACGAATACGTCAACACTGTGTAAATCCACCAATTAACAATAACTTGCAAGCACGCACAACAATTGGACAGGAGGAATCAGAAGGTGGCATGCAGAGAACGAAAGACGAAAGACCACACATCGGTGTGGATCGGTCGATGGGACAACAACTAACGCCGGCGTCCGGGCGGCGGCGGGTCAGTCGTCGCGGCAGGCGGAGCTCTTGGGCTTGACGACGAACTTCATGTTCCCCATGGTGCAGTGGATGCCGCCGCGCTCGCCGCACACGAAGTAGTGCTGCTTGCGCTTCTTGAGCACGAACTCGAATCCGGAGCCGGCGCCCTGCATGACGTTGGCCACCAGCTTGGCCGCCTTGAGGTTGCACGACTGGTAATCCGCGGCGTTGCGCATCAGGTAGACGCTGTGCGCGTGCACCGTCGCGTTCGGTGGGTCGTACCTGAACACTGCAGGTGCAGGGGAGGATCGTAATTCGTATGTTTTCAATTCATGTCATAACTTACAAGCAAGACTGATGATGATACGTACCCAGGGTGTCGTTCTGGAAGAAGGGTCCCTTCCTGATGACCCAGTCCGTGTAGTTGTACCCCCACGTCCACCGCGCCGCGTCGCCGACAATGAACCGCTCCGCGCGGGACGTCTCGGGCACGAGCACCAGCAGCAGCGCGACCACGGCCACGGCCACGAGCGCTGCGCTGCTCCTCGCCTCCATCTATCTCAGTTCTGAGCTCTAATGCTCTATGTCACACGCACGAACGTACTGCAGGCACACCCAGTTATTAGCTGCTACGTACACTTGTTAGCCGGCCGATTGGACGCTTTGTTGGGTTTGTTTGTGGATGGTATGACATGGCGCAACGCCGAGCAGGTATATATAGCAGCAGCCAGCAGGGGCCAGGTTGGACTTGCTTGATCAGCCAGTAGTCAGGACGCGCGCGTAATGATGTCGCAAAGTTGACCGCTCCGTGGCCGGGGAGAGCTCGCCGTTTTGAGGCCGAGACACGGCCGGCGGGCCGGGACCGGGAGAGTCCTGGAAAAAGGCGACGTGCCAAAGCCAAGTCGTTGGTTCCGGATCACACGATCGCCCGGCCGGCGACGTAGTTTTCGGTTAAAGCGGCGCACCCACTTGGCGTCAACACACAAGGCCCGGGCGGCCATTGCTGCTTGCATTATACTTGGTGCGCCATTAGCGGGCGTGCTTAGTGGCGGTGTTCGGCCGCCCGCCCGGGGGTTGGTGGGAGGTGGAATTCGGCATCATCTTCTAGCTAGGAGTACTACTACTACGCTGCCTACGCTTTAATTTGCCGTCGCCTTTTCGCGTACGCCGCAGCAGGCGCGCGCGCGGAAGACTGGCAGAGTGCGTGTGTTTTGTACGTGTTCCCTTGGTGCGGGTCCTTGGCATCATTACTGTAGAGGATAATGGCGGTGCGAGATGATTAGGCCGGTCGATCGGCCGTAATTAACTGGAAGCAACATACATTACATTACACGTATATAGTCGTCCATGCATGCTTCATGATCACGTCATGCTGAGAGTGCTACTTCTTTCAGTAATTCAGTAATTAGTAGTCCATGTGCCGATCGCGACCACCGTCAGACGCTTAAAGGTAGCTATAGGTCAGCTTGTGGTCAAGAATTATTCGTCGTCGACGTCTTCAGCACGGGATCTGACCATTTGTTGGCACTTGTTGGTGCTATACCCGAAAATCGCTTACCTTTGAATCTTCAGTGTGCCCCTCAGATATGTTTAGCTTTGGATGCAGACACGGCGGATTTTGATTTGTCGGTCTGTAATGCGTGCACGTTTCCAACAAACACAGCGTTAAGGGAGATCACAGGCTTCCTTGCTTCTAGCGTCGCGAAAACTGCCGCAAGAACAGCGCGCGCACTCAACGTCACGCCACCTTCACCTATCTAGCCTCTCCTCTCCGTCTGTATTCCGCAGCTAGCACAGCAGCGCGTGGTAGTAGTACCCAGAAAGTGTACGGCATCATGATCGAGTGAGCTGTTGTATTCGAGTATTCTTCGATCGTTTCACATGCGAGAGCGAGGTCACCTGCCTACACCCACATGAACTGCACTGCACTATCGATTTTTTAGTTTTTAGTTTTTTTTTTGAAAAAATATCACAAATATATCCTGGAGTTAAGATTTCAAAATCTGGACCCTTATCTCGGCGCCATCGTTGCTGGCGCCGAGCTTACACGTCTCGGCGCCAGCGCCGAGCTCTTGGGCTCGAAGCATACGTGGCGGTGACATGGCAGCCAGCTCGGCGCCGTAGATTTTGGCGCCGAGCTCGGCGCCAGGTTATTAGCACCGAGCCTGTCTTACGTATGGGCCCCAATCCTTTCTCTCTTCCTCTCCCTCTCTCTCGCACCTCCCTCGCCTGAGCAGCGCACCGCCGCCACCCATGCCCTCTCCCGCCCCCGGCCGCCCCCGCCCGCGCGCCCTCGCCCTCGCCCTCGCCTGCGCCCGCGATTCGTCGTGCCCCGCGCCCACACCCCGCCGCCCTTGCGCGCACCACCACGCGGCCGCGCGCAAGCCCACCGCGCCGCTTCCCGCCGCCAGCCGCCCCGGTCCCTCGCGGTCCCGGCGCGCCGCTCGCGCCCTCGCCTCGCCCGACGTGCCGCCCACACCCGTGGACGCCTTGCCGCGCCCCGCCGCGCCGGTGCCGTGACCATGACCGTGTCGCCCGCCACCGCCAGCCTCGGCCGCACCATGCCCGTCCGCCCGCGTCCCGCCGAACCGCCTCGCCAGCTGCAGAGCATTGGGCATCCAGCGCCCACGCCAAGCCATCACCGCTGTCCTCGGCCGCACCCCCGCCGTCCCCGGCACCTGCAGCGCCCGGCCATGCCACCGCCGGCCCGACTCGTTAGCCTGACCTACGCCCGGCGTCCGCTGCGACTCCATCGACGTCCACGACTCCGTCGTCGGACTGGTAAAAATTGTGAATTTGCAATGTGCGTACTTAGTTAGCTTTGATTATAGTGTAGTAGTTTTGACATTTGTTATTTACTAGTTAATGTGATGATTCAGGTAGTTGATTTAGTTAGTGATCTAGTGAGATATATATGTAGATAGATAGAAACATAGATACATAGGTACATAGATATAGTTAGAAAGCTACTTAGATAGATAGTTACATATTTAGTTAACTAAATAGGATCTAGCTATTTAGTTAGTACATTGTATCTATGTATGTAGTTATTATCTTATTTACTTAGTTTGTAGTTAGAAAGTAATTGTTAGGTACTATCTATCGTCTAATTTGGACTAAAAGACATGTGTTTCGTTATGTTTTTGAACTAGATGGACAACCTAGTGATCATATATCATGGAGGCACCGTTGAATACGATCGCTATGGATATGTTGAGTTTGTTGACATGCAAAGCGTGCGCTATGATAGATATGAGATGGTTGCAGTTGCCTTGTTGACATGGTTCTCCTCAACATCGTCGGCAATGATCCCAATTGGTTGTGCGGATCGGTGAGACTATGTGAGATCGGCTATGAAGAGCCAAATGGTTTGGATGTGGTTGTTGTTACCGATCCCATCCCTCATGGGTTTTCCCCACCAATGGTCAACACATCGACCCTCCCGTCCCGGAACTCGATATGGATGTGGAGGTTGCACCCACGGTTCCGATGCTCAATCTGTTGTTGTTGGAGATGCTTGTCAGACTCATATTGTTGTGGCAGATCCTCCTTATGAGATCCCTTTGACACAGAATCATCCGAGTAAATGTCTTAACCACATGGTTATTGGGAGCTTACCCCCTTTCTTACATCTATTTCTTTCATTCTTTTCTCATTTCTCTACTTATGTTGCAGGAGACATTCTTGAGAATGTGGATGTGCCCCCTGTTGCTGCGCAAGTGCACTATGAAGATGGATTCCGTGGCTCCAATAGTGTTGAAATTATGCATGATTCGGAGCCATATGAGATGGCAAGGGCTCTTGATTCTGATGATGATCGCCCTATTGGAGAGCTGACAGAGAGTGATGTTGATATGCTGAGGCGTATCTTTCCCGGCCGTCGTGATCCAAGAGTTCACGAGTTCAGCAATCTTGCTCATTTCGATCAGGCGTGTGAAGAAGGACGTGATGATGAGCTCCTAGAAGGTCCTAAGGCCGG